CATCTAATGATTAACATAATTTTTCCTGAAGACTTCAACAGGCACAAAATATTATTGCTTGGGCTCTGGTGAGCAACCAAATTGCCAGTTCTTATAGCTATAGAAAGAGAGAGGCAAAAGAAGGGAGAAAGAAATAGTAGAATCAGTCCCAGGGTCAGGCAAAAGGAACACTGTAATCCAAAAAACCACTTTTTCACAACAACTGCAGTTCAGTGAACAAAATAATTCCTTTCTCTAGTTCTCAAAGAACTGTAGAAAGGGAAAGAATATTTATTTGGTCTGCACCACAGATAAGAGGCAATTTTTCCAAGCTTCAGGATGAAATATGCCCAAGTGTGTGTAGGACCATCATCACTTACACACGGTGGCCACTCTTTCAAACACAGTTAAATTAGAGTCAATATCCTTGCTCTCTGTCAGTTATTTTTTCTCTATACAGAGTTGAGAGGGCAATGGAAGATAGACCAAGGCAGGAGACTGCCATTTGCAATGTTCCAGAATGGTCTTCTCCTGTTCTTGAAGTTCCCACCTACACTCCTTTTCTCTCATCCATTCTTAATGAACCATTTCCTAGACTTCAGCCTCATGTTTGGGTCACCTTGGTGAAACATGGTCACCTGGTGGGTCTTAGAAACTGTGGCTTCTCTGTCATGATGTCTGCCTTATGGAACATCATAATGATGTTAAGGACAACCATGATGATAAGGACAACCCCAAATCTGTTGGCCTTCCAGAAGGCAGTGAAGAGCTGTCTTTTCCCACAGGCCCTGCAACAAGGATGTTAGTGGAGCTCTGGTGTAAGTGTGGGCGACATGTTGGTAAGGAGATTTTAATAGGGGCCCCAACTTGGTTTTTCTTGTAATTGATTTGGATATATTTTTATTTTTGTTCGTCACCCAGAGTTCCAGTGGTTAGAGGTCAGCCATATAGCTTTGCTGAATAAATAAGTCAATGTCAGGCTCACTCCTTGGTGTCATAACAGTCCCTTTCCAATTGGTCCCAATGGGCCTGTTCCTCTTCCTCCTGAGCCTGCTGTTATACAAGCTTGCATCATAGCTTGCGGCAGAATAGCAATAGGTGTGAAGTCCTGTGCTGCAGGACATGATCAAGGAAATAAGAATTGACAATTAAATTCCCTTACTTCAATACGAAACTTTAATGCAAGAAATAGGAGAGAGGTAGAAAGTTGTGGAAACTGTGAGTGGAATCCACAGCCCCTCTTTATTGGTGAATGCATTACAATGGAGTCACTTTGAACATTATGAATCCCTTCTTCCTGGGCTTTTTGCAGCCCAGATTGAGCTGCCGTTTAAGAAACAAGCTACTAACAAACGTCTTTATTATCTTTTGGTTGCTTACATCTAGAACACCGATGGACAAATGCTACTTAGAAGCCTCTGCTTGTGGAAACTAGGGAAGCTAGGATCTCTACTCTCTCTTCAAATACAAACTCCTCCCCCACTGCTCTACCCTTCTCTAACTTCTAGAATGTGCAGATAAAAGAGTTTGCCAGGACTTAATCTTGTATTAGAGAGTCCTGAATTTACTCTCCAGGAGACTGATCCTTCCTCTCACCACTCCAAAGAAGGTAAGAAACAATAAACACCTATTTTATATAGTTCTCCACCAGTGAATATGAGATCTTGGAAACATTACTGAGAGCTAGCATGATTGTATAGATGAATGGATGGAGCTGATGGACCACGGGCCTGTTTTTTCTTGGCTTTCTCATTTTTACTGTTTATGATTTTATTACTGTTGTGAGCTGCTCAGAGTTCTGTTTTACAAGATGGGCAGCCATATAAATCATTTAAATAAATAAATAATCCTATGGCAAGGTACAGAGATAATGTTCTTCTATTTCTGAACAGCGATCAGATCAGAAGCCCAGAGACAGTGCCTCCCTATTATACTAAGACATTTCAGTTTTTAAAGAATAGTTCAGATAATGAAACACTCTAAATATCTGAAGTGTGCTATATAAGGGCTAATTATCATCACTTAAGTTAGGTGTTTTGATGCTTCTTGCCTGATAAAATAAAGGTCTCCCAAGTCTTAATCATTTATTATAGAAAGCAAGCTAAAATGGAGATATTATATCACATAAATAATAAATGTAATATGTTGCCATCACCAACATAAAATAAATATGTCTCTTTTTCCTACCATATTCTGTTTTTAGAGGTAGCAATTACATTATTTTGCATAACAAGGAAAAAGACTCTGTTGTTACAGAGCACAGTATAGCCAATCTAATTTTTCCTTAATATATAGACTATGTTCACATGACAAACCAAACCACAAACCAGTTAATCACATTTTAGCCTAGCATATAGTGCAAACTCAGTTTGTGGGGTCTGTTTATGGTTCTCTGAGTCATACATATCCAGAAATTTATGTTGAATAAATGTGGTTAAATTAACCAGCAGTGCATTTGCTGTATAATCACTGCCAGAAACTACTTAAATTCCCAACTACTGTACCACCTTATTTATCGAGGTTGATGGAATGTATGCTTTATTATTACAGCATGTTCAATATTAAAGGAACTGATGTATGTTTTATATTTTTATATTTCTGAAATCACAGTGCAGCTTTCCTTGTAATTATTTTATCAGCTGTTCCCCTGACAAAGGAACTAACAGCTATAGGAAGGGACTTCCCCCACTACTGTATCTTCAAGTTGAAGAAATCTGCATTTCTTGCTCCTACCTGTCATGCCAGTGCTAACCTGTACAGCTGTCCAAAAAAAAAAAAAAAAAGCTATTCCAGATATCTTAAATTTGCATCTGGTGGCAAATTAACTCAGCGGTTTTTAGACTTCGCCATACTATGAATGAATAAAACAAATCATTTCACTGGGGTAGAATTGGCAAGGAATAAACATACCATTTACTAAAATATAAGTAACTTTCAACATACTTTCTTGACTTACATTTTATTTTATTCTTTAGCTTTTCTCTTAGTGTCCATCAAAAACTTCCATTCTGAAAGGCTATTTATTTAAAATAATGGTGAAAAATACTGAATTTCATTAACCCATATACTTCATAGTCACTCCAAAGACTAACAGAGTACATTCTGCACTAGAAGTCACCAGCACTGCTGTGATTGGTAGATTTTGACAGATGGCTAGATCCACTGGTTTAACCATCTCACAAAACTAGCCTTAAGCTTTGCTCACTGTTTTGCCTGTGCAAATCTGCTGTGGGCTTGCTTAGGCATTATGGGAATAGACTTTGACAGTCTCCTGCTTTTTCTGTGCAAACCCCTTGCCCAAGCAAAGAAGTAGTACTATCAATTCCTAATAGATATCTAGACCAGTGTTTCTCAAAGTGTGGTCTTAGGACCCCTGGGAACCCCTCAAGATCCTCTCATGGGTCTGCAAAATCAAAATTATTTGCCAGCTCATGTTGAAAAGTAATACAATATTAAAATCCCATCAAACAATCACAAGAAGTGGTAGTGGCAGCAAATGTGTCCATTTTAATTTTTAATGTGATAAATATCAAAAAATATAACCCATACAAACAAAAGCTCTTTTGGAGTCCTCCATAATTTTTCAAATTGAAATGGGTCCTGAGAGGAAAAAAAGTTTAAGAAACACTGATCTAGAGGAATGCAGTTAAAAAGAAAAAGAAAATCCTTAACCTAAATTAAGCACTCCAAAAAGCCAAAAATATGTACCTACGGATGGAATATGTATATTTCTATAGTGATTCATTTAGAAATTCACTAGCAGCCTCCTATAAGGTAGTTTAGCTTATGTTTGCACTGGGCGTTTTTGAATGAGCTGGCAAGACTACGCCTAGATCAGTGTTGTCCAAACTTGGCCACTTTAAGATGAGTGGACTTCAACTCCCATGCTGGCTGGGGAATTCTGGGAGTTGAAGTCCACTCATCTTAAAGTGGCCAAGTTTGGACAACTACTGGTCCTAGATTAACAAGTTCTACTCCTCTTTGTTTCCAGATTAGGAAGCTACCTGATTTTAATAAATCC